GGTGGGACGGGGATTCGAACCCGCGACCCACAGATTGCGAGTCGAGCACCCTAACCACCTGGGCATGCCGGGCCCACGAAGTTACGGAAAATTAATTAACAAACGGAGACGTAACAATACTTTATGGCAGGCTGGGTGCACGGTGTCAGACTGGAAAGTGTACCAATCGTCAAATCACGTAATCTACTCGAAGGTAAGCAACTTCTATAATAGCTGTTAAACTGGAACTAGACGAGTTTTAACTGATCACTTTTATTTGCTTAGCAGCATTTCACGTGTGCTGACGATTAATATCGCCCTAAATTAAAAGGTGATCGACATGTTTGTGAGGCTGTTTGCTAATGTTGCTTCTGTTTTCTGCTACTAGTAGTACTAGATGATAGATCTATTAGGCCTAGAATTTACATACAATTGCTTTATAATTATGACATAATGCATGGATTCTAACGTTAATATCACATCTATATTTGCATTTTGTAGGCCCTATACTAGTAGGGCTTTTGTTTAGATTGACATATGTGAATTTATTTGTTTAGAAAGTTCTAAGGTCACTGCACCATACTAAGTTCTGATTTTTAATGTGATAGTCCTAGGCATACAGGTAGCAGTAAACTAACAAGGCTCCCAAAAGTCCACAAAAATTCCATTCCTTGTCACAACTGCTTGAACCCGCTCGTTTCACTGCAGTGGCACATTATTCCTTCGCTCCTAATCAGCTGAAAATCTAGAACGACAGTTTTGGATTTTTCATCTAATTGTATTTACAACTAACAGCATCAAAATTGGCATTATTACATGACTCAGTACTAAGCATGTAACTGCTAGGTTCACCGTTATTTCACCAGTTCATTCTTACGTTCAATATGGCGGAATAAACAAAGCACACGTGCATATTGACTACAGATTGGTAGCGTGCCCGCAAGTATATATATTTGTAACAAAATGTTGTTATTAATATGTATTCACTTCTACTTATTTTAAGTTTCACTTTGACACCATGCATGGTTATATTGTGAATGAACGATAAGTGATAGGTATAAAAACGATTTGATGTTCATTTTTAAATTGTGCTTTTTTACCCTTAATTACCATTTGTCAACTTGGTAAAATAGACCTTCGAAATCCGCACTCCAAAAATCACCATTAACGTTATTTTACCAACTTTTACCCCAAAATGCCTTTACTATTGTTATGAAGAATGTTTTTGGCATTTTACTTGCTTAGTACAACTCTGGTATATCACTCAATCTTTTTAATCACACTCAGTATCGTTTTTCAGCCTTTTTTCCCATACACTGCGTATTGTTGCCGGTAAATATTGTTACGACAGCGGAAGTCACGCGACCCTGGTAACACGTCATGAGATTCTCGAAGGATCTTGAATTGTCCTGGCAACTCTAGTCTGTTCCATGCGCCCTCTTTTTTAGTATATAAGCCCAGCAAATAAAGCAGGAATGATATAGATAGAAATAATCGAGTCAAGCCGTAAGTAAAGTGTGTGAATCCCTGAGAATTATAGCGTGTGTTTATAAAAGTAGT